CGTAACGACAGCAGAATAAAAGCTAGTCTTAATGAAGTAGAAAATTAGGAAATGGGTATAGGCTGTCAGTTAGAACAGGGTGCCCCAGGCCCCAAGTCCATTTATAAGGCTGATTGTAAAACAATCACAGACCGGGAGGGTGCCCTCCCCCCTAAGTCAATTAAAAATGGAATGTTCAGAGCACCAACATAATAGCACAGTAGCAATGAACCAAAGCTGGTTTCAGAAAGGTGGGCTGGGTAACGTGGGAAAACTCAGTGGGCTTTGGTAGTCTAGAAGACCCCCACAGGCCCAGTCAATCAGCAAGAGAAAATTCAGAGACACCCAGCAAACAACACCCGCCCACACACACACACCTTGCCCACTATACCCATATAAGCACCTGCTTCTCAGCGGCTACCCACTCAGGACCCCTATCCTCTTGGAGAGCTTCCCTGTCCTTCCTCTTGTCTATCAATAAATCTCTGGCTTTTCTGTAACTTTGGTCTCGACATTGAATTCTTTCCTCGCTGAAGATGAGAACCCAGGAAGAGCCTGCCTGGGGTACTCAGACTCCGGGCCCACTCCCTAAAACTCTGATTCATTAACTGATCAATTGGAGTGCTTCTTCTATTTATATATTGACACTTGGATCCCTTTAGGCCTTGATTGGCAGAATTTGAATTAAGCCATAGTGATCCATTATAAAAAGCTGTCCTTTATCAAATTTTCTCAAAAAAGTGTACTGGTAAAGAATTAGGACTCTAACCAGACTGCCTAGATCAAAATCTTATAGATCTAACACTAACAAAGTAGAAACTGATTAACCTTTATATGTGCCATTTTGTTTTAAAATCAGAATTAGTCCACTCTCTTTGGCAAAGACAGCTGCAAGTTCTGTTTTTCCTCTCATATCTACCCTCTGGACTTTCGCAGACCCTGTGACTGCTTGTTTGATCAACAGAGCACAGTCTGAGTGACTCAGGTTTAAGAGGCTGATCTTCCTTGTCCTCTCTCAGAGCACATGTTCTTGGGATCCAGCAGCCATGCTGGGAGAGAGCTCAGTAGCACCACAAAGAGGAAATAAAGGAACCAAACCTCTAGCTACCAGTATGGGCTCCCAGTCATCAACACACATCAAATTGAAAGACAAGATGAGAGATATATTAAAACTTTAGACACCCCACCTGTCATCACAGAGATAAATGGGTCCCACCAACTTCTGCCCACATCCCAGGTATGTAAGTCAAATAAATGATGGTTGTTTTTAAATCATTTAAGCGGCACGTGATTTGTCATTCAGAAACAGCTAACACAGAATTTGGTCCCTTAAAGTTGCAAAATTCTTTAATATCTGACATTGGCTTTGCCACCAGGTAGCAGGTGGGATCTGGGTGGGTCTTTGGAGTATTGTTTGTGAAAGCTGGAAGGGCTTTTACTAACTTAGGGTGACTGTGGACTTTGGAAGTCTTATTAAGATAATTATTCAGGGCCTCCCCGGTGGTGCAGCAGTTGAGTGCTGGGTTGTGAAGCTGCCCGCAGCCTCTGCAGCGCCAGTTCGATTCCCAGCTGCTCCCTGGCCACCGGAGGAGGGTCCCGCATGGCGCGCAGACCTCTCCTGCCGCCCGCTGCTCCCCTTAGCAGTGTACTTCGGTCCTTCTGCCTGCTCTGCTCCCCGCTCTGGCTCTGGTGAATTCTCTCACCCTCCCGCGCTTCTGACTGTACCCAGTGCTTGTATAAATTAATAAATAAATTTAAAAAAAAAAGAATTAAAAAAAAAGATAATTATTCACTCCCAAGTTTTTGAAGCATAAAACTTTCAAAGTATAAAATAATTTTAGAAAGAAAAGATCAATTAGAATAGAATGCAATTAGCTGCTTTGGATTCAATTTAAAGGGTTATAAAATAGGATCTATCAAGAAAGTCTTAAAGTTCTAGAGATTAATTAATGCTAGAATAGAAGTGGTTGGGAAGATTTGCCAAATAACACTCAGTATATCACCTACAGTTTTTCCTCTACTGACAGGACAATAAAACATATACTTAAACAGCAGCAGGAAGGAGACAGGCTAAATTTAAAATGCACTTGGCAATAGAGTTAGGCTTGTAAGTTCTGAGAAGGTATAAATCAGTCATGTGTGCTCTGGGGGATACCATAACAAGAAGCCCAGAGACTGACAACATAACCTCAGTCTTCATTTGCATGCTTTCACCTACAAGTGAAGCACAGCCACTTGACCTGTGAGGCCATGTATAATCTTACATAGCAGGAGACTAAGACCGCTGTACGAATGATGGCTCTCTGGTTCAGTTACATCATCCAGGTTCATGGTGTGTCCCACAAGTGAAAACTTACCACCCAACTATATGCAGCCACAAGAGAGGCTGGAAAACAATCTAAAGTTAGTCAGCCCTGTATCAGAAAGGAAAAAAACAGACTTGGTGGGGGTCATCACGATCTGGCACAGAGTTGGTGGCAATCACAAATAACACCAAACTCAGCTCCTGTTTACTTTGTAGGCTCTATGGCAGTAACACTGTTACCCAGAGTTAAAAAACAGAGGCAATGGAGGTGAACCCTATACTCAAAAAGGACAACACAACCATTGGAATTATCTTTTTGGCAGTGACAGTAAGAATAACAACACAGAACTAGTGCCCAGCCAGGAACCCTTGGGTGGTAGTAACCCCTAACTGCCAAGATGGCACATCCTCACCATGATAGTATAAGACCAGCATCTCCTGCTCTTACCCACAGAACTGCCCACACTATGCAGGTCACACTGACCAATTGTAGGTGGATTTTTCCAAAGAACAAAGGAGGCAACCAGGGAGGTGTCTGTTTCCTTTTTACTTCCAATTTATTTGCACTGTTTCCACTGAGGTGGCACACAACTGAGTTGAGAGAGAATGGTTATTCATAAAGCCAAACAATGCTCTCCATCCATCCAAGAGTCATTGTTATATATTCTCAATTTGGTGCAAAATGGTCAGAGGCATTCCTTGTAGGAATGAGGAAAACAGGTAATACCTGACACCTGTAGAAGTCCGCTCAGTCTACATCTTGCTTAATAAAACATCAACAGAACAACAAAAAAAAGCTGCTACTTTGCATTCCAGCATCAAATAAAATCTGTTTGGGAATATTTTACATTTTGGGCTTTTTTGTTGTTGTTGTTTAAATTTTCTTAAGATTTATTTATTTATGCATACCAGAACTGGGGTATAGGCCAGATGTGTGGTGGGTGAGAGGATCCACCAGAGACAGAGTGGGGAACAGAACAGGCAGACTGACTGAAATACACTGCTGAGGGGAACAGCAGGTGAGACAGGAGAGGTCTGCCCAGCCATGTGTGTTCCTCCCTGGCCAGGGATCGAACTCATACTGCAGTAGCTGCCGACAGCTTCATAGGTTGCATCTTATCCCTTTGCGCCACCAGGGAGACCCAATATTTTACATTTTGGATTATTTGTACTATTGCTCCTTCCTAAATCAATGGTTGAATGCAAAATGTATAATGCAAGATGTCACCTATGTCCAGAAATTTTAACAGCCTTTAAAAACCAGTGTCTATTTTCCAGAAGAACTTTAAACTGTCATACTTAAAAAATTAACAGGAAAACTGGGACCATATAGCCATTTGTCTTACCCCAGCCATCCCCAAAAGAACTGTGTCTAGCTCCTTCTAATTGTTAACTTCTGTGTCTGGTCCTTATGGAAGGTGAGGAGATTGAAAGAGCACCACAGATTACATACATGCTTACTTATATCTTTGCATCCCAGGAAACAGCTGTTTTAGAGTGTACCATTCTGTAAAACACACACTCACACTTCAATGGAGGGCTCATCTTTAGACAGATGCATACTCAATGTCTTTTAAGACGATGACAAAGCCCTGAGGGTTTTAATACAAACCCGTGTGACAAATAATTTGCTTAATAATGACTGACATTATTATACAACATGGAACTTCAAATACCTGAATATATACACAAGTCAGTAGGCAAAGCATTTACATTGCACAGCTCCAGGGAATACCATGTACACTGCAGGCCAAAATTGTGCACAGGTAATCCATGACCACCCAGCCATGCAGATTTTTTTCTTGCTGCTTCTAAACTTAAATCTATACATGGTACAGGATTCCCCACTGTTGCTTTTATGGCTGAAAATTTGACAGCATTTAAAAAAGTATACTTGCCAATATAAAAAGCAGGTTCTCCAACTTCTAAATGTTGTCACTGAACATTCCACTCCCCAGTGAAGACAACTGTTCATCATCAAATGTTAGAAATTAACTCCCCTTACCATAAGCTCCACCTGCTTCTATAGCCCCCACCAGCTGTCTCACATGGTTTATAAACAAATTAAAAATAAAAAAATAAAGACTGATTCAATTCCAGTTTTTCTAATAATCCGAAATAAATTAATTTTTCAATAAAAAAGAACACGTTCCTCATATTATTTTTAGCTCCATCTCCTTTATTATGCCACTTTGCTGCTGCTTCCTCAGTTTGTAACTGATTTAGGTTTGACAACAAGACTCTGTCCAAGTATCTCTGAATTGCCTGCTACCCTCGTGATGCCCTTGTTGCTCTGCTCTGTAAGTCAAAGTAGACAACTGAGTAGCCACATCCAGACAGACTCCCTTTTGCCTCTGAGGGTAAAATGCCACTGCAGGAAATTCAACAAAGAATATAATTTGGCTCCTATTTTGGATGTCCCAGTCCAGGAGCACCCAGTCATCGTCCCAGTGCATCTGCCTCTGCAATGCTATGTTGAGCAAAGGTAGGGCCACTGCAATGCTGGAAGGTGCCTATAGGGAGTGGCCCCAGCAAACAGGGGACAGTGCAAGAAGAGACCTGACAGCTGACGGCAGTGCCTGACTGAGAGAGGAATTTGGAGCTTCTACAAAAGGAAGACAGTTTGAAAGCATTGAAAACAGCCACCAAGTATTCAGCCGTTCCTCTTCTGGTTGCAAGTTAACCCCAGCTGCCAGGGAGAGGAAAATGTGCTTACCTCTATCTATGACCATCTCAAAGGCAGAATTCATTCTCCAGGGACCAGGTCAGAAGTTTCACCAAGATTGGAACTGAAGATCTGGGGCAAAGGAAGGAAAAAGTAGTGTTTACAAGCAGCCCCACTTATGACTATATGTCATAAGGCATAAACTGCTTCCTCCAGGCTCACTGCCAGAGACCTAGGTCCTGGCTCTCCAGGCAACTGGAGGCATTTCAGCTAGGCTAACTACCACCCAGAGCCCTGACATTTGTTAGTGCTATTTCCCTTATTCCTCAAGCTCACATTTTAATCCAAAAACCTCATTCTTGATAATCAGCTGGAGAAACACATGCTGCTTTTGGAGGAAATGCCACAAAATAACCACACTACGTTTGACATCAGAGCACTTCCCAGCTACGGTACAATTACCGATAGCTTTAATTTTCTTACACATTTTCATTTCCTGAAATGGTGAGTAAATATTGCTTTCATAACAAGAAAACAATCATTTTCATTAAAAATAAATAAATTTACTGAGTAATGATTGCTCAGGGGGCCTACTTGTCTCCAACAAAATTAACATTCCTCTGAAAAGATTCACTTCAATTAAATCAAAATTAAAACATAGCCAGTAATTAAGATGTCACAAATCCAATATAAACCCATGTAATGGAAGAAAATGTTGCCTTTACCAAAATTCCTTTTCTTGGTGAAAATACTCTGAACCGTTTTGCTTTCCTTATTGCTACTGTAAAAATTACCTCAAATTTACCAGCTCCAAATAATAAAAATTTACTCTTTTACAGTCCTGAAGATCTATCAGCTGGGCTGAGTTCCTTCTGGAAGTTTCAGGGTAGAATCTCTTCCTTTACCTTCCTTCCTTGCATCACTCCAACCTCCTGCTTCCATCCACATGTCTCCCAGCACTAATGCTGACCCGCCCGTTCTACAAGAACGCGAGTGATGCCACTGGGTCAGCCTGGGCAACCCGGGAGAAGGCCCCTCCTCAAGATCCTTAGCTAACTGTGTTTTTCCATGTAAGGCATTGCCTTCAGTGTTTCCAACCTGTTCTCTCTGGGTAGTCATATTTAGGCTATAACACCCACCTGCTATAAGAAAACGCAGAGACAAGCCTTAAACTCCATGAGCAGACACAACCAATTTTCTCATAGCAAGCAAAGCCTAATTTAGCTTGTTTTCCAAGACTGACTTAACCTCGGTCATGTCTTGTTTCTGTCCCTGAAAATCATAAAAACTGTTTCTCAAGGTTGATCTGCCGTAATCACTGCCTATTTCCCCTTAGTGAAGAAAATTCTAACATAACCAGTCACTATGAAGAATTAACTGTCGTCCCATCACTACATAAGCGGCTTTGTGACAATATACAACTGAGCCTCACTGCATGTTTTGGTGTGTTTCTGGTTTTCAATGTGTCTTATTGATGTGTGCACAGTGAAAGTTTAGTGATTTATTGCTTTTACTTTGACTATTTCTGAACTTTTGACAAACCCATTTAAAAATATATTTTTATTTAGTAGCTACCCAGGTATTACCAGTATTTCTACAAATTCCAAAGCAGAAAATTCTATAGTAATGGTTTACTTTCACAGAACTGTCAAATCTCTTGACTCTTACATCTCAAACTTTTAAAATATTCCTTTTTCAATTTTAAGTGATGTAATTTACATACAAGAGTGTATAGTTTAAAGTAGACAGTGGAATAACAACTTTCACATATTGTGAAACGATAACCACTATAAATTTAGTTACTATCCATCATTTCATAGTGACCACACATGTGTGAGATCACATAAAATTCATCATCTGTTGTGCAACCATGCACAAGGCAGGTTCACTTTCAATTTGAGCAGACAGATAAAGGAATCTTGGAGCCCTCAGTAGATTTTAAAGGCTTTGAATGCTAGAGCAGGCACACAAGCACCCCAGGCAGGGAGTCTGGCATGCAAGGAGGCAGGCACGGACTGGACCCGTAAGGGGGACCAGGCTTGCTAGTCTCTCAGACCCCTGTGAATCTTTTCACCCTCTCTGGCATTCTCAGTCTCGTGGTCTCACCTCAGTGAGCCGCCCTTTATACCATTGCCTCTCAGCACAGGTGTGAACATTCACACATGCGCACTCCCTGCTGTCTGGGCTCAGGTGTCCACAACCAAAGCTGTGCCTGCTGCGCCCACACCCCTTGGCCTTGGCATCCACGCCAGCAGCAGCAGGGGGTTAAAAAGCCTGATAACTTTATTTGCCCTACACATCTGACTTATTTCTCTTAGCCTAAGTCCTCAAATTTTTATATCTCAATTTTTTAAATATTTAACTGGATAACCTCACATTTGAAGCCAGTAACACTCTAGATCTTTTGTGGCTGATATAGTAAGACAGTCAATATTTTTAGGACCATTTTTTTAAAATGTAACAATTCCCAATTATTCCCTCACAAATGTTTAGTCCAGACATAATGTCTTCAGTGAATATTTGCACCTCTTCATTTCTAGAAGAAAAGAAAAGAAAAAGAAATTACTGCAGTTTTGGGAGATAAAACCCTGAAGTCTAGGTGAGAATGCCAACTGTCACTTATTAACAGTATGAGGTTAAACAAGTCACCTCACCATAACCTTTTTTATAAAACACAATGCTAATTCCTGCCTTGCCTACCTCACAGGTTGGGGCAAAGATGAAGTAACTGCAAACACAGGCTATTGTTATTTGTCCTAGAGGATGAAGCTCTTTAAACTGTTCATCCCCTATTTGTAGTTAGGAAGGAAAAAAAAAAAAGGTGGGAATTCCATTTGAGCTGTTTCCCTGTAATTCAGACTATAGCGTATTGAAAGGAAAACTTCTGTCTTCACAATAAAGCCTCCTGGGGCAGGGAGTGGGGAGGAGATAGGGAAATGGATCATTTTAAAAGTCAAATGTTCTTTATCTCAAATTTGTTACCAATTCCAATTTATATAGATATTTAAGTTGTTTTCCATTTGCTAAATACAACCCTCTCCTACCCTGTGGGTTTTTTCTGCCCTCCGGCCATTAGCATCAATGATTGACAAGGTCTTGCACTGGTGACTGATGGCAGCACCTGGAGCATGGTGTGGGTGTGGGTGAGTGGGAGCACCTGAGCCAGAGACTGAGCATATAGGGCCCGGAGGCAGCAGAGGGCCACTGCAGTAGAGACCAGCAAAGAGACCATGGGAAAGCCAGAGAGCCCAGAAAGAGTAAAGATTGGCCTGAGGCCTCCACACCAGCCTTTGGCCCCCAGGCCTCCCTACCTGCCCTGCACCGGGTTGCCTCACTACAAATGGTGCAGAAATCTCATTAAAAGCCTGAAAAAGCCATTGAGAGCTCCAGGACTCCTCTTTCACCCTCTGCCAGGATCACAGAAAACTGCTCCGTGCCTTGCTGGCACTACATGCCCTAATCAGGTGTTGAGAATCACCTTTGATCCTCATTCTCACAAAAATGGTTATCACTTTAAATTTTGTCAAGCTCTTAGAAATATGATACCTGGTGGTTGGCTATTGGATTTCCAGTTTGTAAAGTGCCTGCTCAATGCTTCCATTTTCCTACTGCTTTGTAGGGAAACTTTATGTACCCGGGATCTCTATTACTTATGTGAGTTGCAGGGTCTTCTCCCCTCTGTAGTTTACTGTCATGTACTTTTATGAGCAAAGTTTGTAATCTTAATGAAGTCAACTTTTTCCATTCTTTCCTATATTTTAAATGTTTTTTGTTAAATAAAATCACTTTTTTTAAAAAAAGAAAGTGTTAAGATTCAAAGATGTCAGTTGCATTTACAGACTTGACGACTTCTATAATTAATGAGAACTCATACATTTCTCAGATAGCTGACCTGCTCTAGGTTTACCCCTTTCATTCCCAAAAGTTTTTCTCAAGTTTTCACAGAACATATGAAGTCCACCAAAAAACAAACAAAAGCCCTGTGTCCCATGGCCTGAAATATACATTTCAAATGCCTCCTACACGGAGATAAAACCACTGTATTATAAAATATGTTCATTTATATAATAAGCATTGATTCATATAATAGAATCAATTTGCTTAAACAATCAGAAACCTCTCTTAGTTGCCTAACTTTCCACTATTTATGCTTTGCACATAAAAGCTCGAGCTTCTTGAGTGAACCACAAACACAGTTGGTGTTACCTTCCCCCCAAATGTGTGGGCAAGCTCCAAATTTCATCTCCTTGGAGCTAGATAAGTCAGCAATTCAAGAAGAGCTTCTGGGCCTCTCTGGTGGCACAGGCAGTTGAGCGCAGCGCTGTGAAACTGTCCGCAGCCTCTGCAGCACGGGTTCGATCCTGGCCGGCCAGGGAGATACCCACATGGCACGGCAGACCTCTCCTGTCTTGCCCACTGCTCCCCTCAGCAGTGTGTTTCCATCAGTCTGCCTGTTCTGCTCCCCGCTCTATCTCTGGTGAATCCTCTCACCCTCCCGCACATCTGGCCTGTACCCTGGTTCTTATATGCTTGAATAAATAAATCTTTAGAAAAAATTTTTTTAAAGTTTTAAAATATTAAAAAAAAAGCACTTCTGATAGTGAGGCTGCCAGTCAAATGCTCAAATGTTTAATTACTTTCTGTGCCTTGCTAGAAAACTCACTTCTATTTCTATATCAGTGAGAGACATCACATTCCTCTTTGACAAGATTGTTTGCAGAGAGGCTCCTCCAGAGAGAAAGTCATGGGATTCATTTACTTCTGCCTCCTGATTCACTGCAGATCAGCTGTCAAGCAACTCAAGTGGCTGCAATCTCCATCCCAAACAACTCTAAATGATTTTGAAGATAAACTTGCCAATCGTGTTATGCCTAGTAGCTCTGACAGGAAAATATTCAGCTGACTTAAATGAAAAACAAGAGGACCTCTTTGGAGTCTTCATAATAAAACTGCCAGGCCACCTGAGAAATTAAAGAACCTGTTATAGTCACACTTGTATTTCATGATTTTGCATGATAAAGTTGAGCTTGGCTAAAGCAGCAGTGTAGGGTAAAGAAAATATCAGGCTTTTCTGCCCTTCCGCCATCAGGAGAGATGATGGATCCTTGTCCTGAATGCTTGCCTGATGGCGG